CGGAGTGGCGTTTCGCCGGCTGCGTGCGTGACTTGTCTTCTTGTCTTTTGGGGACACGCTGTGCTGAAGGCGGCAATGGCAGTTTCCCCCAGGAATGGCAAGGCGAGCAAGCGCCGGGGTTTTATAAACGCTCTCCGGGTGGAAATCACAAGCAGAAGGTACGGACTGCGTCTGTCGCATGGGGCTTGTATCCGAGCTGTGCTGGGGATCAGCATGCTCTTGCCTGCCACTCCTACTCTTGCAAGAGCGAAAATACGTAATGATCAGTCTCTAAACCCCGACCCCGCCGAGGGAATGATATGTTTAAGCTGGACTTTGAAACAGCTTGATTTCATAAACACTTTTATCATGGTGATGCCGAAGTGTCTGGATAGCTTCATTATGTTTCCAAGGGCTGCCAGCCAGATCATCTGCCTGTGTATAGTGGGAGAGGGAGGGATCTCTGCTGCCCTCTCAGCACGTGTGTGACATGTGTGACATGACTGATTTTATGGGGAAGAGACTCGGGGATGTGGCCCTAGCAGTCCTCCTAGCTGTTGATAAGTCTCTGCCTGCCTGGTATGTGTTTAAGGTAAATCGATTCCTTCATCTGCTTCACAGAGAAACACTCAGGTAGCTGTGCCAGCGTAACTATGACACCTACGTCCACAGGGACGAAACGGGTTGAATGTCTTAGACATTGAACGGGTTGAATGTCCGGTAGCAGTAATTGCTAGAAAGACGGTGGCAGAAAAAATTACGTATCGTTTATTTGGAAGCTGAATGATTTGTACTTTAATTTCATGACGTTTTAGCTTATCTTTAAAATTTTTGAAACATATTTTGATTTATGAGGTTATCGACAAAATACTCTTGGAAGTATTTCACAGTTAGGAATAGGGGTACCTTGTAATTTTATAACTGCTATCTTGAAAGTATGAATGGGTTTTTTTTTCTTTAGCAGAACAAAAAGAAAAAAGAACCGGTTTTCTCTCATTATTGTGATACCTGTGACCGTGGCTATAAAAACCAGGAGAAATATGATGAACATGTTTCACAACATACACAGGTTAATTAGTTTGTGTTTTTTATTTTAATGTCTCTTCGCAAAGCGTTGCTAAGTTGTAGGAGTGCTGTGAATTAATTCATTGACATCAGTAAGACGTGGTCATGTTTTTACGTGAAGGAATTTTATGTGGAAAAAATAATTTAAAAACCCACTCCTTCATTGCAAACAACGTCTCTTCGCAAAGCGTTGCTAAGTTGTAGGAGTGCTGTGAATTAATTCATTGACATCAGTAAGACGTGGTCATGTTTTTACGTGAAGGAATTTTATGTGGAAAAAATAATTTAAAAACCCACTCCTTCATTGCAAACAACTAACAAAATTTGAAGCTGCAGACCCTTGCAGACTTTTGTTTCAGGTTAAGTTCACATTAATTTAAAGTATGAATTTAAAAGTGTGTTATTCCTTTTTACTTTTTTTTTTAACAATAGTGTTTGTTTTGTAACTGTGTAACTTAAAAGCTCTGTGCAACTAACTATAATAGTCTGTCACTCATTAACTTTGTTTGAAAGGTACTTGAATGTTTATTAGAACTTGTTTGTATGACTTAGTTTAAAAAAAAAAAAGTTAACTTCACCCCCTTACCTTTGTCTTACAGTGCACAGAAGAAGGTTGCAATTTCAATGCACATGAGAAGTTGGTTCAGATACACTGGAAGAATGTAGGTATCCCAACTGAGCCCAGAACATGACTCTCTGCAATCTTTAGATTAGTTTCTTTTCTTATACTTTTGAAACTTTTCTTCATTTTTTTTTTTTGAAGTACCACCTCACGCTAAGAGCTGAAAATTTGTGCAAGAAAGTAATGTAAATGACAATACATTGACTACTATATTGTTTGAATGGATTCACTTGCTCATTGCTTTGTGCGATCTTGGCACTATTGGGGATGCAAACCGTGTAATGTTCATGTACTAGTCTGTGTGTATTTTTTTTTTTCTTAACGTATGAAATGCTTTTTCCTTAGGTGCATGGTCCTGGTGCTAAAAAAATAAAGTTAGATACTCCAGAAGAGATTGCTAGATGGAGAGAAGAAAGAAAAAAGTAAGAAAGACTTGCGGCCTGTGAATTTGTTTTACTGTGTTTTCCCTGTGTGCTAATTAGGTGGCACTTGAATGGCATCAGCAGCACGTGCTTAGGTGCTGAGTGTGCTAGGTACGTAGAGGTTAATTGGATGTTTATAGCAGGAGGTGAAATGTTTGATTTGGGTACCCCAGGTCAAATGATCTTGTCATTCCTTTTAGCCTGTTCACTGAGACACTTTAGGTCAGAAGTAAAAAAGCTAAGATCTGAAAACATTGTACTGACTCTAATTGTGGTACTTCCCACTTAGTGCAAATTCCTACAGTCCTAGTAGAGCCTTGAAGTTGTCCTAGTAGAGGCTACAGGGAGATCTCTTAGTTTTTAAGAACTTTCTGCATTACTTGGCACCCTTCTGGACAAGAACAGAATCTGTGGGTGACTATTTCTCAAATAATCTAACTCATACTGTATCTGGGGCACAAGGTAAACTTCATATGTAAGTGGTACCTCTCATTCTGTCATACTGAGGTGATGTTTACCTTCAATATGCTTTACCAGTACTGGAATATTTAAATATTCACAGTGCACTTCAGTAGTGCTAATCCCACTGACTTTTCCAGAGATAAACAGGGTTAAAATCTGCTCTTTTTTTTTTTTCTCAGTGGATGAAAGATGCTGTAGATTTTCCTCACTTTTGCTCCTGACTTGGACTGGAGTCTTGTGAGTGGTCAATCCAAGGCTTGTGTTCCATGAGCAGAGGTCCTTTAAACTTATGTCTTTTTTCACTCTGCATAATTTCAAGATCACTTTACGCTTTGATACTTTGACAGTATGCTAGTCATCTTTTTTTATTGAATGTAAAACCGGTTGTCTTCAGTGAAGTATTACTGATGAACGTAGTTGCATTCATGTCAGAAAGCAATGCCTAGTGCATTCTTGTTTTGATCTTGACTTCCCTTGATACCTTATTGTGTACTAGCTTTGTAAAAGGGGTGTGCGGGAAGTGGAACGCATGGCAGGAGATGATTTCTTGTTACTGCCAGTCATTTTCTGCTGTATTCAGAGGCAAAATTTCTCCCCTTGTAATGGGAAGGAGCAAATCCCTGTAAATAAACTTTCTTTTCGAGGTGGCATTTTTTGTGCAAAGGGAAATTTTTCACAATGTCAGCATATCAGGGCAGTCCACTTCACTGTTGTACCTGCTGTTTCTTTTTTTGTAACTTAAGGTCATCTTTAGGTTCCTCTTAAAAATGTTTAAAATCAGGATTTGTTTTTACTTGCTTTCACCATAGATATTATTGTCTTTTTTCAACAATGTTTTTTACAAAGGCTTTATTACTTACAATGCAAAGAGGTCAGAGTATTAGTAAAAAAAAAAAAAAAAAAATTCTTAAATTTCTGTTTTGTGAAGACAAAAAAAGTATTTGCATGTCATGTCTTTACCATTCACTTTCATTTTTGTATAGGGAGATTTCTGTTTTGGGATGTTTGTGGCATTGTTCCTGTCTAGTGGGTGGTGCTAGGGTTTAAGTGTTGAATCGATGCTTAGGGCTGTGTTTGTAAATATATGCTATACTGTATGTTAGAGCATTAGGGAAACATGAAATGAACGTACAGTCGTATTTTAGGTACTTTTTGGTGGGGGGAGGGAGGGAGCTTGTGCTCGGAGTCAAAGTCCAACGTGTCTACAGTTAATTGTAAGTATGATGCTCTCTGCTGGGTCTTTTTCTTGGCTTGAGGTTTTTGGAAAATCTTTTGCTAGATACTGCTTTTGTAGATGAATCTACATTGCCTGGGGTGCAACGTTGCTGAAAACCTTTGGTTCCTGCGACATGGTGAAATAACTGCAAATAAAGTTTTGTAATAACTACCAGCACAAAGAAAAGGAGATTAAGACCTTCTAGGCCAAGCTCGCTAGATGGAGCAGTGCTTTGGCTTATTTTGGTATTTCTGTTGCTGTGTGGGCATCTTATTTAGCTGTAATGAATAGAGGGAGAATGACTACCTGGGTGGCTCTTGTTACTCTCTGTTCAGTGAAGGACCTGTACTAACTTCCTCCTTTTTTGTTTTTATTTAAAACAAAAAAAGGCAAAACAACAACAACAAAACTCTGAAGCTGTTGTGAAGCAAAAATTGGGTCTCCAGCAAAGAAACTGTTTAGTGCTGAAGGTCTGCTGTTGACTCACAGTAAACATTGCATTGTGAAGGAAGAAAGAACACCAGAGGGAGTCTGAACAGCATTAGGCAGTGTGGTCTTTATAGTAACAGGAGAAGCTTTTTTCTTTCTAGAATGTCCAGTCAGACCTAAGAAGGAATCTTTTTAGGTCATCACTGATATAGTTCTAATCAGGTTGCAGTGATTTAATGTGTTTAATTCTGTGCTGCACACTTAACGTTTCTGCCTTGCTAGTTCCTTCAGCCAGTACAAATAATTACTTATAGGGTTGAGATTTTTTTTAATTAGCTGCTGTTTTGCTCCGTTGTGTATCCTGCTTAAACACAGGTTCTTTGTAATAGATTTTTAAGTGCAGCGTTATTTATTTAGAGGGAAAAGGAAGGGAAAGGGGAGAACGGGCAGTAGGTGAGTATCTTTGCTTAAAGTATGGCAGCACTGTTTTGCTGTTATTCAGACTCCGTGCAATGTCCTGTTCATTGCTGCAGCCTTCATGTCTCTGTTTGCCTAAAAGACTTTTTTAATGGTTTATGGCCTATTAAGCATGCAAAGCCAGGCGATCTAGAGTTAAGCAGAGAGTGATGGAAGTGACGTTCCACAAAATCTCAGGGCTTCCGCCTGTTTTGCAGGCAGATGGTTGTGAAGACTGACATCAACTTTAGTGATTAAAATTGCTTTCTCATTTTATGTATTTTTAGCTTTTTTTTATACGCAAACTCAAAGGGAGGTTCGAGTTACAGGGGATATACTGATGCATTTCCTCAATGTATCAGAGTGTGTTATTGCTGTCTTCTGTTCTTACCAAATGAAATCTGGATCCTGGTAGCCATGTGTGCCAACTGTTCTTGAGCAAAACTTGTTAGAAAGAATGCAGCAAGGCTGCTCTCATGTTAAACGAAATCCTCAAACTTAGTTTTGCCTAGCTCTTGGTATAACAGGATTTTTTTGATCTTGTGTGATGCTTGTTCCCCCTCCCCCTCTCCCCTTTTTTGATCTGTTCTTTTCTGGTCCAGCTGGGGACCGTCTGCTGCATTCCTTTTGGAGTATTTCATGTGCCGAATACGTACTTAATGAGCAGAGGCCAATACTGTTGACAAAACCACTTTTTATTAATTTGTGGTTCTCAAGTTGAATAGCAATAACCCTAGAGTAGCTTGGTTTCCTTCCTGAAGATGCATTAGTAATAGTAAACGACGTGATAAAGGAAAATGTCTTAACCTGATAAAAGCAGAGAAGACAAAACAGACAAAACAAAGTGGATTGATTGCCTTGGTAGATCAAGGTAGACATAGATAAAATAGCTGGGTTTACTATGAAGTGCTGGTATGCATTAGCAATAAAATGCCTGGGAGTCTCCCAACAGTATTTTATCAGCTCTGTGGGTCATCCGTGTACCCTGTGGGCCTTCCTTGTCTACTTGGCTATTGGTTGTGCATATGCAGTCAAGGCTAGCTCAAGAGGCAATTTGATTACACTGCTATTCCTTTGAAGCTGGTAAACTTGTATTGCTCTGGACCCAGAAGTTCGTTGTGTAAACTGCTGCAGAAACATGCTCTTTTCTGTTAGATGTTGGTGAAACTGTGTGTGTGTTTTTGTTTGGACTGCTTGGTTAGAGCTAGTTTGCTCCGGTGTTTATGGGGGCAAAGCAGGGTACTGCTGGACTGTAAAACATGTATGGCTTTGGCTGGTATGCTCATTTATTGAAAAACTGTCTTTTCACTAAGGCATGCAAGTTAGTGGTTTTGCTCAATGTTGCTATTTTCTGTCTCTGGGATTTCTGAGTATGTTTTACCTGCATGTTATTTTATCTGCATGTGTCTGTCTGGCGCATGTAATATACTTGTCTAAGCCTGAAATCCACAGTTTTCTGATGTTATCCTGACAATTTATACTGAAAATCTTCCAACTTGGATTATAGTGGTTTCTTCAGTTGGAAACTGCAATGATTATAAAATGGGGCTGCCTTCTTCTTGGGCAGTACTGGCTCCTCCATGAAATCTACTGTCCTTGTCCATCGTGTCCTTGTTTAACTCCCTGTTCCGTGAGAACTCACTTAAATTTGTAAAGCCTCTGCGGTGACTGAGGTTGCCCATCTTCAAGCTCTGGCTGGTTATTTACAGGATGTAGATGCTGGAGTTTTTCTTCTGCTATTTCACTTGTGTCTCTATATAACATCTGAAGAACCTTATTTTATTGGGGGGAAGGGGAGAGGGAGAAGGATGCAAAACCAAGTCAAGTCATCAATTTTAGTGCATGATTCTTTATGTGGAGAGATTCAGTACAGGCTCTTCCTTCTGGATTGTTGTGCTTGTGTTCTGGAGCAATCTCCCTGTGTTTGGTCTTCCTGAATAAGAATTCTTTGTAGCAAAAAAACTTCCCTCCTTTTGGCCTCTCTTGAATACTTTGTGGCTGTTCTCAAATTACTAAAGTTTACAAAGTATGGGTCTCTGCCATAAAGTTGTAGATCAAGACCATAATGTTTGCGCTGTAGGCATATGCGTCCACTTTGGGATGAGTCCAGTTTTGCTGCCTCCGTGGGTAGCTGTAGCTGATGCAATAAGTTTTGTCAGCAGATTTTGTTACCACACGGTTTGTGCATCTATACAGAAGTAGAGTGTAAGCTCAGCTTGTTGCCTGCCTTGGAAGGAACCACCCTGAATTCAGTGACTGTCACCAGTTAAGCACTGATCCGCAATGAGACTTTTTGTACAGATGATCGCTTGCGGAAGAGTTCAAGCAGTGGAGCTTACTAGTGTAGAACATGATGCAGAAAGCCGATCCAATTCCCCCCATAGTCTCCTGAACTTGCCAACCTAGGCTAGAGATGACCAACCTGTGTTTCTTAAACCAAATGCAGTGGGCAGATAGGTCTGTGCCCTTTTCATGCTGGGACTATGGTGTGTGATGAGAGATGCGATTGCCCTGATGCTGGGAAACTGAGGTGGGTGGGCAACCTTGGTCCATACTTCCCCAGCTTGCTGCCAGTGGAGGCTGCAGGGGTTGACTTGGCCTGGTCGTCCTGATATCTGCTAGTGTACCTATCCCAGCCTCATCACACAGCAGAGCGCCTGGAGAGGTGAGACCTGGCCTACCTTGTATGGAGACTGGCCACCTGAAGACTTGAAAGTCTAGATCTCGCTGCCTAGAAAATCCTCAAATTGAAAAATAAACCAGCAGCCACTTGTTTGTTAATTGTGAATGAAGTGAAATGCTTGGTGCTTTCAAATAGATGCCTTCTCTGCAGGAGGTAGAAATAGTGAGTAAAATACTGTTTAACATCTGTGTTAAGGAGAGTTGGAGAAGATAAATGCAGTCATCACAGGTGCTGTCAGATGTACTTTTGCAGGCATACTCAAGCTTAAGACACGAGCTCCCTACAGCTGTTAGTTATTGCCTTTGTCAACTGAATGAGTGGTTTAAGAGATATCTGCCGGTCTTGGCACTGAATCGAGCTCAAACTATTCATGGAGTTCATTGCTGTGGCTCAGTGCAGGGAGTGGTAACTCACAGGAATGAAAGTGGGAGGCAGTCATTTCTCAGATCATGTTGTGAGAACATGTCTGAATATGTCCTTAATCAGCATAATTCCAGGAGCACTTTGAAGACTCGTTTGCTCCAGCATTAAGGGTCTTCCTTTATGCCTTTTAAAAGGGGGGGGGGGGGGGGGGAAGGGGTTAAGACAAGCTTGGGGTTGTTTTGACCATAACTATTTGTTTATGGCTCGATCTCCTCCTGTGGATGTTACTTATGTGAAAGAAAACACTTTATCCTAAAACTCTGGAGAGCTGCCAAGCACAGGGGTCTTTGTGAATGTGAAGCTCTTGAGATTACATAATTCACTCCATGCTTGCTGTTAGCTGGAAGTGTTATAACATGGATGGAGAAATGTAGCTAATGGGGAAGTGCTGAAATAAAACATCACATCCTTATGCTCACTGGAGGGCTATATGTCTGGAGTTCTGGGAGAAATCCAATTAAAATAGATTTTGACAGCTCATGTTTAAATCCTCTTAAAGAAGACAAGTTCTGTAATGTATTTAGGTGTGTCTTTTAGAAAATACTTCTCATCTTTTTCTCTTGGTACGTGGTTGAAGCTGTCGTGTATCAATCTGAAGTTTAGCAGTCTTGTAAAATGGGGAGGGTGCGTGTGATAAGATTAAATATTTAAAGATAAGTGGATGTCCTTTCTGACAACTACAGGTAGTGACTAGGTGTGTTACATTTCTTGTTATTCGTCTTACTAGACTTACATTTATACCCCCTGTGACTGTCCAGAGATGTTTCTGAGTGTGTGTATGTGTTTCCCATTTACTACCTTTATCTCAAAGCGCTGGGATTCAGCAAATTAAAGTTTGCAGGGCAAAACCAGTGTAGCCATTTCAGGGCTTTGGCAGTAATTTACAGCAGGCCTTGCATGCTGGAGCCAGCGTGGCCTTCATCTGCAGGGAAGAACGGTTAGGGAGGAGGGACGTGGGCCATGAAAGAGGGGGATGGTTTGTGAGACGATTATAACAGTAGATTTGTTTCGATCTGCATGACTTAGCAATTTTTCTTGAAGCTGGAATTAAAAGTGCAGTAATATTGATGAAATAGAGATCAGTGTGCAAGCACAACACCGAATACTGCTCAAGAGGAAATTTGTGTGCTTTTCTGTTGCTGTCACAGTAAAGGAATCCCGTAGATCCAGAAGCTGTTCTTCCAAACTTTTTTATTTTGGTATTGCAAAAACGTGACTGGCTTGCTTAAGGCGTGTGATACCTTTTAAGACCCTTCCTATGTTCCAGATGCAATTTTATCTGTGTGGTGCTTCAAGACAAAATCGTGTGCTATTTATTGTGCATAGGGGTGACAGAGTCCGCAGGCGTGACTAAACTTTTTGCCTAAAACTTGTTGGATTGTTAGGTAGATGTAAAAAATCCTCTTTTGGTGTGCATCTTGTTGTTGGTTTTTTTTTGTTCGTTTGTTTTGTTTTTTTTAACATCCAAGTATATAAACATAAATGTGTTCTGGTTTCTCTTCCTCACCAATGCCTTTTTTAAGAAGGACACAGTCTGTTACACTTCCAGGAAACTCTTTAAAAATATGTCAAATTTGTGTTTGTTTAGGATGTTAGTTTGATAGAGGGTGAATTACCTAAGATGTACAGTAAGCTTCCTAAGAGCAAGTGCATTTTTTTTTTTGTTTTCTTCTAGAAACTTTCCTACTTTGGCCAACATTGAAAAGAAGAAGGTGGTGCAGATGGAGAAGGAAGAAAGGGGAGAAGTGCTGACTACCCCACAGTTCGGGTAAGCATTTTGAGGCAAGCTTTTTCACTTTGCTCCTAATTAGTTCAGAAGTACGCTCCTTCACTGTGGTCTCGGAGCACTTACTGCTTTCACTGTATGCACTATCTAGCTGTCCTTTAACAGAGGACAGGTCATTGACAAATTGCAGATATAATGCTCCTTTGTTTGCAGTGCTTCATAGTACGTTTTAGTCAAATTAAACAATAATTCTATTAGAGACTTGATGTTCTTGCTGAATTCTGTACTCTGGCGTGTTTAAAAAAACCACAATGTAATGGCCATTCATTAGAACACCATAACCTTGGGCTGAGTGAGAAATAATGGAAATAAAATTCACACAGCATAATGAATCTACATGGTCTAATCCTCTAATGCCTGAAAATGGCCAAGAGAGACTTTATGACTGGATTTAACGTCTTACTCCCTCCTTCAGATGATAAATCAAAGCAATAATCGGCTGAGAAAGGAAGATTTAACTTTATTTTTGGTTTTCGTAGCTGACTGTTACTTCTTTCTTCTACCCACCATCATCTTTATCTATCTGCTATGTTTGTTCTGGGCTTAATTCTTACCCCTCTTGGATTTTATCTGTTCTCTCCCCTATACCGTGAATCACTTTTCCAGCGTAATCTCTGCTCTTTTCTCTACCCTCCACTGTTCCTTCATTGGCTTTACCTTAGCGTTTGTAGGAAGACTAGTTTTTTATTTGTTGTTTTGTTTTGTTTTTTATGCTGGTATAATGATTCATGCCCTGAGAATATCATCTCTTTACGTAGAAAAGCTGAACTGGAAGGCAAGAGTAGACTGAACTTGATATGGCAGAAGCTTTTGTTAAATCCCATTTACTGTTGTGTGGAAGGGAAGTTGGACTTTGTCTACATTTTAAGGAAAAAAAAAAAAAGAAAGAAAGAGTGGGAGGAGGAGAAGCCTTACATCATGGTAAATCCTTGAAGATAAGCAAGTTGCACAGTGCAGGATAGGGTTCGTGCCAGACTAGCGGTTGTTAAATGGTAATGGTGTAAACTGCGTTGGCGCAGAGTGTGTTTCAGAAGTGAAGCCCTCTACCCACCCCCTCCAACTGGTTGACTTTTAAAGGCTTCCAGGAAGGGCTTATAAAAGTCTGAAGTAAAATTTTCACTGTCCAAAGGATATAAAGTTGCGGAAGAACTTCAGACACAAGGAACCAAACCAAGGCATTGAAACTTAAAGCCCTGAACATATGGAATTGTATCTGGAGATTCTCATAAACAAAGATGAGTTTTGCTTGTTATGGTAACAAACTCTTTGAAGTCTACAGGTTTTTGGCAACTCCTGTGGTTCTGCTAGTGAATTGAGTCAGATGTCACGTCAGTCAGGAATTGCTGACTTATCTATTACGTGTGTCGGTAACTTTACAGCTGGAAAATTGTTTGGAAAAACCACCTCAAAGCTACTGGTTGTTTGCTTTCACTTGGAGACCTCTAACTCTGATTGAGTTCAGAAGTCTCTCTCTCCTTTACCCTCCCCCCAACCCCTTCCTGAACTACCAGTGCTACAGATTTGATGTACTGTCCAAAAAGCTGTCATTGGTGCTTTGTATATCAGCAATAAAATTTCTGGAATTGGTGCTTATCTGGCAAAATTACTGATGCATGAGGCAAAAATAGCATACAGCTTGTTCTCTGCAAGCTGTACTACTAAAGCAAATAGCTCAGTAAGATTTAGAACGGATTAGATACTTAGCACTTCTACGGTGCTTTCCATTTGTGGTTCTCTGAAGTGCTTTACAACTATTAATTCTCGGCATCCCTGCATGTGAGATTAGAGATAGAGAGGACCACTTTGGCAGTCTGTGTGGTGTCTTGCAGCAGCTGATTAATAGCACATAGCTCTTTGCTCCCTTTGAGCAGGAAGTGAAGAATAGTACATCTTTCAGTAGAGGAAGACAGAAGACAGATTCCAGGCTGGCATTTGTTGCGATGTCTTCGTGACCTTGGATTTTCTTTTTGGGTGCTCAGTGGTCACAGGGAAATCGGAATGTTGGTTTTTATCCCTTAGTCGAGGACAGCATCTCTACTGAGCCTGTACTTACTCGGTATTTGGTAGGCTGTGCAACACCATTCTGAATTTGGAGCCCTCTTGTGCAAGATACTGTACACATTCACAATAATGTTCTCTGCCTTGGACAGAGATGAATTATGCAGGAAAATACTAGCCTGGGTTTGTGGATGAGACTTGTGCACAGGAAGGTGGTGACTTGTTTCTTGTACCACAAGATAACTATGGTAGATGGTTCTGTGAGAGCTGAGTAATCAGTATTGAAAACTTATCGTGAAAGGACTGAAGAATGAAACAGAATATGTTTTGTCACCGTATTCGAGTATAAAGCCATTTTGAATGTTGTATGTGGTTCTTCTCGAAGGATTTAATAGAACGCGAAAGTTAGGGAAGAGAGGAACTTTAGTAATGGGAAGACTTATGTACGAGCAAAGGGGTAGCATGGAAAGATTCTACAATAGAGATCTAGAAAGTTAAACGGGGGAAGACGTGAATATAATTATCATTCTTGCAACTGAATAAAGTTGAGGTTGTCAAATGACCGTTTCAAGCATAAGAATGAAAACAAACAAAAGGAGGTCCTTCACGCATAACTTCAACACCTTGCAGCAAGACTTCAGGGATACCCTAAGTTTACGCAGCGTCCTTTAGCATGGGATGCAAAAGGGATCAGTGTCTTGGACCATATCTGACTAGAGATTCTCCCAGTGGCTGCTGAAAACTGGAAATACAAACTGGAAATGTGACTGCCCTTTTTTTGTGCTCTTGTTTCCTCAAGTATGCTCCCGGCTGCTGTAAGGTACCAGGTTAGAAGTACAGCTTTGGGTCTGTGCTTGCAACTGTGTGACTCTGGAAGCAGGGAGAAGTTTTGGGGAGAAGCTCTTGCCCGAGTATGGTATTATACACTTGACTAGGGATTACAGGACCTCTACCCTGCTGTAGGTGAGACTGCTGGGAAGAAAGTACTGAGCAAAATGAACCATGGGGCTCATTCAAGACTGAGCTCTTGCGTGTCTTTTCTGGTTGAAATGTGCTGATGATCGTTTGCAGCCTGTTTTGCTGGATGAAGTTTCTGTTGCCTGAAAAGAGAGATCTTCAGGAAGCTGAAGCTGTCACTTTTATATTTGCCTTTCTGATGACTAATCCAATACACCCTATTCTTGTCGCCATGTGCTTTTTCTGTGATTTAGGAGTTGTGGGGATCCTTTTTTTTTTTTGCACTGAAAAAACAATTTTTTTGATAGAAGTGTTTTTTTTCTTTTCTTCTTCCTTCTCCTTTTCACTGTGAAAAGGATGGAAAAGATGAAAAAGTGGAAAAGATGAAAAGGCATTTGTTAGCTAGAGTCAAGGATAGGTAATCATTGCAATTGACTGTGTCAGACAGCCAGATGGATTTAATGCAACAAGATCTTTCACTGAGCTGTAACTAGAAAAAAGATTTCAGCAGTGGAAGTATACTAATAGCAGATGCTTCCCTCTAACTCCACACTTGCTCTCTCTGTTTTGATTGCTTAAGTGAGGGGAATATTGGCTTTATAATGTAAAATGGAAATGCTAGGTCCTCACACTGTAGATGATAAAGGAAATTGCTTAGCCCTTATGCTCATGTTCTGTGATAAAACTTGTGAAATTCAAATGCCTCTCTGAGGTTTCAGCCGTGTCTCGCTACCCCACCGGTGAGATGTTGTATGACTGCATGTGTGGTCTGGTACAACGTGTTAGCTGAGCTGGAGTCCTCGCTGAGCTGAGCTGTTCTGGCAGCACGTTACACTGCTGTACCTTAAGTGTGGGCCTCAGCTTTTGGGTTATTTCATTTGATTGTAGGTTGTCATTTCTATAAATTTTGCATTTCTCTTCTCCAGCAAAATGAAGGGGATGTGGAAAGCTCCAGAAGATGAGGAGAGGTCTGGACAGCAGGGAAGACATAAGAAAAAGCAGAAACGCCAGTTCTGGAAGAAGTTTAAGAAAAATGGTGGAGGTGATAACGTGCCATCACAAAAAACTCAAAATGTAGCCAATGGATCAGAAAACCACCTGTGTGAAAAGGAAGATGAAAAACAGCTCACTTCAGGGTCTCAGACGTGCATGAAGGACATGGACCCTCTCAGTCTGCTGGCAAACAGTGATGTTGGTAAGATAAAGGCACTTTGAGAAGTTTTATTTTAAGTAGTTCTAGTGGAACAAGCTGTCTGCTAGCAACTTCTGGGGAGAGCTCAGTACTTATGAAAACATGTAAACGCTGTCCTTGGTTGAAAGAGGGCTAATTGGACATGCTTATAATGGAGAATTCTGGTAGTAGAAAATTGATGAAAGTGTTAACAGTGTGCTTGGAGAAGAATACTTGTGAGCCTGCTGTCGTCTTTTTGTCACCAGGATTGCCGTACTGTGGCTAGAATAGTTCCAGGGTCAGCAGGGTTGTAAACCTGTTACTTTGAATTAAGTCGAACGTCCCTGTGTCTACAACTCGCTTGTAGAACTTCCTTTTAAATGGAAATTGCTGTGCAGATGTGTCCTGATTCAGGACCTGGACTTGCAGAAAAGTCAGTGTGATCATTGTGAAGACTGGCTCAGTGCTCTGCCTAAAGAGAAAAGGAGAGGGGCAACTCTTGCAGTTTAAGGAGCTCCTGCCGTGGTAGGCTTGGCCTGTTTCAAAGGCTGCTGAGATACTGTTTCCTCTCTGAGTCAGAGGGCTTTCTCCTGTTTGTGTGCATCCTACTGATGTGTGTATGCTGGTAGGAGGACCTAAAACCGGTAGGCTTGGCTGACGTGGCTTGAAAAGAAGCTAAAATATAGTCATTGAAGAGAAGGGAAATTTTATTTTAGAAGGGCTGGCACAAGAACATTTTGGACACTGTCAACAATTAGGCACGTAAGTTTTCTTGCAAGCCAAGTTGATCCACTTGTAAACATTGGGAAGAATCTAGTAGACTCCCTTATGTGTTTGATTGTCTTGTAAAAACTGGGAAACACTGACTTTTATGCTATATAATCGAGAAATCTTTAATCTAAAGAGGAGAGGAGGTTGGGATACAGGATGTCGGAGTGTCTTGGATTTGAAAAATATCCATGTTGGATATTTCTCTTATCTACATATATGTAAAGGGCATTACAAAATTAAGTCAATACTTAGCTAACAAATTGAAGAAGATTTTTGGGCTTTTAGCAGAGCACAGCTCAAGTCTATCACTATTAAGGTAAAGCTAATAGCTTTAATAGGTAAAACGTAGTTTTAACTATTTAATATTTAGTAGTAGTAAATAGTTGTAACTATTAAATAGTGTAATAGTTAAAACAATCTTATTCTACCTGTCATCTCCAGAGTTTAGGAAAGCTTTTCTTCATTCAACATGCTTAATTGGGAGGGGCAGCAAAGGGGAAGTGAGTTGAACCATAGGGAAGTGATACTGCAGCCCTTTTAGGCAAGGGAGCAGGGACTGGTGTTGGACAATGGAATTTTGTATTTGAGACGCGCTGTAGAAATGCTTACTTACACTGGTGGTGCTCATCTTCGGACTGAGCTAGCTGCTGTAGGAAGACGCACACTTACAACTTTGCTGGAGAGTGGAGGGGATGCGACTGCGGTAACGGGGGAGGCTGGCTCACCCGCGTTCCTCCGTTTGAGGAGCCTGGCAAGCGGAGTGTAACGAGAGAGGACAAAAAGAAATAGTGTCTGAGTTGTTTTAAATTTAGATACTGAAACTTTTGCCTGCGAGTCAGGGTTTTGGAAGCGCTGCCAAAAACCTTGTCTGCAGCATTACATGTTCTGCCATAAATATTGCACAATAGCCTAAAGAGCTAGCACCAACTTAGGTTACTAACCTCACTTGTAAAATAAGAAAATCTTTGCTAAAGCCAAAAGAGGAATGAAGTATTTCCAGAATAAAATTATTTTTGAAGACTATTAAATATCCCTTTCTGTATTTGAAAAAAAAAAACGGTACTGAGAATGTGAAAACAAAACTGATTTACTTGTGTAAGTTAATTATTTAAAATGTCAGCACTTTTCTCTTTTAATACGTGTTTTTGCTCTATTATCTATTTTGATCTTGCTCTCCCCATGTGACTCTTTAAAGTATTGCTTCTTTAATTCTTTTGATGAGCATGTTTTGTTACCACGTGCTGGCAGCAGTATAAACTCTACTGATATAACTATTTATAATATAGCCAGTAGTGATGTAGGACTCTTAGAATATGGCGCGTAAGCTGACTTGACTACCTATTTTTAGCAGCAAGGCTAGAACGCATCCCTTGGAAAGACGTCTGATGTTGAGTTTTTCCTCTTGAAACGTAATCTTCAATTAGCGGGAACAAGAGCTCGGCATCCCTGTGCCATTTGTTTATTCCGCTAATCTCTGTATATTGGAATACTAAGGATGCTTAAAAATAACTATATTTTTCCATAGTGTCTCCATTTTATTCAATGATCTAATTATACCAAAGTGCAACTGTTCTTTATAAAGTAAGTTCAGTTATAATAAGTAGAGGAAGAATGTGGTACTTGCATACTGCACATTTAAAAAAAAAAATACAACTCTGACTTTAATAAACACTGAGGAATATAACTGTGACATAAAGAAAAATGAATGTGCTACCACTAAGTAGCATAAAAAGCTTTTTAAAAAATTACGATTTTTGCTATCTGGACACATTTTGTTGCCGTACTTAAACCTTCTTAAGAGGAGCAGCAGCCCTTTCTGCAGAGGGAATGTGTTCTTTGCCTAATGCATTCATCTAAGTTCAGTTCGATGGCTAGTTCCTCCTAGCCTAGAAGGAAGCTAAGAAATTGAGTGGGAGACGGAAAACCCCCTTTTTTTTTAAATTTGTGAACGCAAACAGCATAAGAGGATGACAGATGTCAGGTCTAAAATTGAGGGATCTATTGAACAGAAACAGTCAATTTTATTCAGTAATGCGTAATGCTTCCTACAACAGGTTTTACTATCAAAAGGAAAACATATCCAAATAAATGTGTTTTTTTAATATTTTTAGCAGATTTAAAGTAAATTTTTTTTAGCTGTTTTTGCATGCCATAAGCTGATTTCTAGTGTTATGGCTAACAGCATTTAAGAAAAGTTTAAAGAAGATAAAAGTGAAAGGCACCCAAACCCATTGTGGCACTTTACCATTTTGAATATGATAGAAGTAAAAAGCAGCTATTAATAAAAATACTTGGGAATAAATTCCTGTGCTTTGTAATTGCTTAAGTATTTGCTGATACGTTATATTCTCCCTTAGAAAAATGCACCACACTTAGCATGAACTTCCCCTGTAATTGCATATTGATATGATTACCAAACCAGTGAGAATCAGCTCTCTTGCAGAGAGGACAGAGCAAGCAGAGACAGAGTGCCTATGAATACATGTGAATTTAAATCAGATTTACTTTACCAAGTAACGAGAGTTCCTATAAGTCAAATTGCCTATTGCTAATGATATATTAGAGAAAAATAGAGGTATATTTGTAATTTTAAAAATAAAGCGCTTATGTTTACTTCTGTAATATCACTTTCTTAAGAAGTATTAGACAGCTTTCCTGCTGTAATATTCAAGCTTAGGCCCATGGGGGATGGCAGAGGATGTGATTCTTTCTGTGAAAATAACATTGCAACCAATCTTTTCCCTAGAAGTTTCTATAGGCTCCTTTCTGAGAATGTTTCTAGTAGAGATTGTTTTAATATTTTATTTTTACATATAATATAGATATAAAATATAACAACATAATAAAAATAAATGAAATGCATATATGGGCTTATTAGGAAATGCTTTTTGGTAGACACCGCTAGAGTTAACGGAGGAAATTATCTAAGTCTTTGCAAGATCATCAGGCATCTAGGTCCTTTCCGTCAGATTGAAATCATCATAATTTCTTAAGTTAATTTTAAGGGAGCTTTTTCTGGTAGGTCTTTTCTGTTTTCCTGGTATCCTCAAATTAGGCATTTTTGTTCCATTTGCCGCCTATCTTGTCTTGCTGGTATTCTTTCTCAAGGGCAATTTTAGACTGTAAGATCTCATTAACTCATGCATATCTATAATGCTCTGTAGGGATTTAGGTATTTAACTATCTGAAAACCGATTGCCTAACTTGTAGGCTGAGTGCCCTTTAGAAGGGTTTTTACCATCCAAAAATTTCTTTACCTTTAAAAATTCTCAGTTTAAATGAGGAAATTCTCCTTTTTACATTATTGGCTTTTGAAGCCGCCCCCACTGGACCAAATCCAGCAAGGCTTCAAGACATATTATGAAATCCTCGCTCTCTCTTTACCCGCAGCTGATAATAAAACCTATAATTAAATTCGCTATCCGAAGAGAGAACCAAAAAGCCCAAGCTTTTTGTTCAGAGAAGTTGAACCTTTTTTGCTCCTGCAGCCTCGCCTGCAGGACTGTAAGCCTGTGCTTAAACACCTTTGCCACTGAATGTGTTTGGAGGGTAGGCAGGTGTGTCACCAGTCCACGACACTGAGCGATGGTGCCTAACACCAGTCTTGCATGCTGCTCAGATGAAGATTTTATAGCAAAGCTGGCTGTTAACGCACAGGAGCAGTTGGAAAAATCCCTCTCGCCTTTTCTTTCCGTGCAGAATCTGACAAGGATGAAGCAGCTGCTGAAGACGGGAAACTGGGAACAACTGTTGTTCCCAAGCAGGTCACCTCGGCCCTGAGTTCGTTGTCGGCCAACTACGGCAGCGCGTCAGAGAGTGAGCCGGAAGGTGCAAAGAAGCTTGGTGAAATTCCTCTGGCTTTTTCTTCTCCCCTTCTCTCTTCCTTCACCCCAGTGTTGTGAACGGCAAGCACAGATAAAATGAGCTGAGGCTTACATTTAGCAAAGATGTTAACGTAGCGCCAGTTCAGTGGCTGTGTCTCAGAAATACTCTCCAGTTTGCTTGCAGTGACAATGCATGCTAGTACTGGAATAAGTCATACACAGAGAGGCTGGGATGAGTAGAAGGATACGTCATTATTTTGCTCCTGGTCTGTTTCCCCATTTTAACTCCCAGTTTTGAGGACTAAACTGGGTTACTGCATGAGCGATTATTTTTCGCCAGTACAGTGATGACTCCTGACCTTGAAGAAGCACCTTTGAAATATGGCGTTGGTGTGGTCGGTCAGTGCACTGCACTGGAATGGCCTTGTCCACTTGGACTGTGCCGCATCTAATTCCTGGTCTTTTTCTAGCCCGATAGCATACTTTAGAAAGTCCAGAACAGAGTTTCCTGAAACACTGGGTGTTTTTTTCCCCCCTTTGTTGTTTGCCTTTTCCCACCACTGTGACCTGGGTTAAAGGGTGGAGATAAAACTTATTTGCTTAGGGTGTGTATCACTGAACTTCCCAAGCCTTTTGGAATCAGGCAGTTGGAAAAAAAGCAGCCTGTCTTCAGTCTCCCTTCAAATCATATTTGAGGAGTGCCAGGAAAGTGCTGTTATGCTCACCCTGTGAACTAATTTCCATGTCCCTAAGGGCTTTTTCCGTAGAAGGCTGCTGGATGTTGGAGTAAAACTTAAACTCTAGCGCTTGGTTGTTGCGCTTCTCTGAGCACAAGAGAGGAGAGTTTCTTTTCTGCATCCCATTTCTGTAGTATCTGTGCTTGCCTCAAATTTTGCTTTAGGGGGTCCTCGCAGTATCAGCGTAAGGTAGAGTACTCTCCTGCACCTTATTTTATAGATAGTCACTGTGCCTTACCTCACTAGATGGCTTAAAAGTTAAAGAGCATCTGGCAGGGAAGGGAATTGAACTTAGGCATCCCAAGCCCTAACAACAGGATTTTTTTTTTTTTTTTACCTCATCTGTCAAATTTGCAGCAAGATACTTTGAACAGGAAGGAATGCGGTTTTGAGGTGATAACAAGCAGAGGCTTAAATCTCTTCAGCTCTTGATGTTGTCCGTCACCCTCCCCAGTATACCTGACTTTAAGCACCTCGCTTTCCTTTCTGTGAATATTCCGAGAATATTCTTTGTATTTAAAACCAAAAACTCCAAACTCCTCCCTTTCTCCAAAAAACCTTGCCCGTGTTTACATCAGGGCATGCAAGTAAGAATAATACTAATAAACTGTCAGTGCATGGGGATATAAGCATGTTAAAGAGGCCTTTACGTTTGAGAGCTAAAAATATGTTTTTTCTTTAAGAAGTCCCTGTCAAGATTGTAGCAAAACCTGAAGAAAACGAGGCAATGCTCAGAAATACCTCTCAACCTACAAGTGTTCCTCAGAATGCAGATCTGAATCAAGAACGTGCAGAATCTACAAATACAACGTTAAGAAGCTCGAATTCAAATGCAGGTCCCCCAAGAGGCCCTGATAAACGGGGGAAGAAAACATTACCTCTCCTACCGAAGCGTCGTCCGACTCTGCTGGAAATGGTAATGGCCTTAGTGCTAAAATAATGCCTGCTGTACAAAAGTCTGCTCAGCAAAAGTGTAGTTGTTCAAAAAGACAAATAGAAATACCTTGACGTGCATTCAGGTAACGACTGACTTTGAGCGAAGGTGATGACTTGATTATGTGTCTAAAGGGAGCTGCTCAAAGGATGAAGACCTTTACTCTTTCCTCTTCCCTTCCTGTGATGTTATCCTGTAGCGTGTATGTGTGTGTTATTCTGATCTTCCTCCCTTTGCCCTCAGCTTTACTTTTCAGCTGCTTTCTCCTAATTGAGGAGCACACAGTTTTGTTTCAGATGCGGCCAAAGAGGTCTTAAACTGTCAAGCACCGTTGAGCTGCAACTGCAGATGCATGGGTCTCTTCTCTGTGGGCATGTTTAGAGCAGCCCGAGGAAGTGACAGTACTGATGTCTTGGAAGGATAACGAGAGGTTTATGGGGATGATTGAGTCCAGGGTGTTGTGATTCTGTTCTGAGTTAAGTCTGAAGCATCCTATTTGGGAGCTTGATGGCTTTCTTTGGTATAGACAAAACTTGGATTAAGGTTTTATTGCATTTAATACGTGAGAGCAGCATGAGCTAGGAGGTCAGGTGAGGTAGGCTACCCTCCTGCTTCTGTAACTAGCCAGCATCATGCTCTTCAGTCAAAGGAAAACTGTTACTGCGGGAAGGGTGCAGGAGGAAGCAGGGCGTCGCCGACACGTGCTCCGAAACAGCAGAGGGTACTTAGGCAAGAGATACCTGAATGGTCCTGATGAGTCACATCCCATGTCTCAGATGTGGGAGAAATCCTTTGATAGTCCTTTTAGCACATATTATCTTCGCTGCCAAGAATTAAAGTTGCTAGTGACTGAAAAGGAAGTGTTTGCCCTTTGTGCAGCTCCCTAAGCATGCAGTCATCTGTATCTCTTGCTCTTCAAAGCTGTTGGTGATCAAAGCTGTGAGGACTCTGAAGAAAGTCCCACACGCTGAGAGAAGCGGTATAGATGCCAACAGAACGTTGGAAGCCTGAACTGTAGTTTGGCAGTATAGTCCACTTTCAAAATTGCTTTTTTTTGCTCTTTTTGCCTTCTAATGTTGTTCAAAACTGTTGTTGAAGGACATGTACTGTGGCCGTGAATCACAAAGGAGTGCCTGAGATTCACAGGTAGGCTTCCGCTGTCAGAAACAGCGTATGAAAACGTTGAGGAAGCAAGTTTGAAATTTTACAGTGAATCGCTGCTGAGAACTTCTCCAAAAAGTGAAGAAGTGGGGTTGCTTTAAAAGATACCGTATCAGTGAAATGATCCTTAAAGGAAAGGTGGGGGGTAGGAGAATAGCTGCAGAGATCTTTGTTGGCACTCATTAGGCAATGATCTTGGACATTACTGAAACATGTTTATCAGAGCCATCCCCGTAATAATGTGTGTTTAGCTATGCTGTGTGCTGACAGAATAACGAGGCCTGTGTAGCATCGCTCTGCAGATATCAATCACTGCATGAAAACATAGAATACAAAGGTGTTCCTTGTCCAGTCTAAATAAACCATGGCAGATGGCTGTATGACAAACTTTTTTTGCTAGGTAGGGTGATGATGCATCCCATCTGTGTCCTTGTGAGACCGTTTGGGAATTCAGCAGTTTCCCCAGCTCCTACAAGGAGAACATGATTGCACTGCCTCTTCTCTACCTTAATGTGCAGCGGTTAGTTCTGCTAGGGGCATTTCTGAAAGCTGTTTTAGCTGCTAGTACAGGTAAATATTGAAGGTGAAATGTTTGCATTTTATAGGCCAGCTGTCTGTAACACCTCTTAGTACCTGGTCTAAATAGAAATATGCATGCCTCTCAACGGCTGGCTAGGCTCCTTGTTGAAACTTAAAACAACAGCAAAAAAGCTTCTCTGGGACATTACAGGCCAAATTTAGCCAAGATGTTTGCTTGATTATCTGCAACAGATCTGTATTAGTCATAGATTTAGCTACTTGCTTTAAACGTGTAGCTTGTTCAGAATATTACTTTTGCCGATACTCTCAATGCCAAAATGTCCTTCAGGCTTCTGGCTGTGTATGCTTTTTTTTTCTCTTTTTTTTTTCCTGTAATAATAAAATGAACTTTAGTGAGGCTAAAGGAAAGGAGGGAGGTCTCTAGCATTCTGAGTAAGCTATTAGACTTGTTTTGGTGGATTATATCCCAAAACAGTTATTGGTATTTAAAACCAAGGTCTGATGACAGTGCCTTTTACTCATAAATGTTTTCTAATAAAAGATGTATGGGATATTAAATTACAGCTGCTGTAACCTGAAAAATCTAAACGATGCTAATGGACTTACCATGCTGATGCCCTATTCATGGCCCAGAATGCATTCTTTATTTCAGGTGTTAATTATTATCTATGGTAAGAAAACATGGTAATCTGAGTCTACACTGGGAAATAACTGGAGAGGAAGTTCCTGGTATTTAGTTATATTCACTGACTTTAGCCACCTGTGCAAACTGAGAGTGGCAATTTAATTTAAAAGAAGCTGTCAAATTTGTCAACTTGTTCCACCTGCCTTAATAGGGCTAAAAGAGTGGTCCTTAAACATGCGCGTGTTGGGCATGCGAGTGTTTTCACTTGATTCAGTGGGACAGTCATGTGCAAGTACTGTCCTCAATCACGGCCCTTCTGAGGCTCTGCAGGCTGCATCTGCAGAGCACTGTCATAAAGGTGGTGGTTGACCATCACAGTGCACTGCTTTAGCAGCTCGCTACTACCCAGAAGGCAGGTCTTTCCCTGCCTCATGCTTTCTGGATGCCTGATCCCGCTGCTTTTGTGGTATGTCGAGCCTTTTGCTGACTCAGTTCAGCTTTCAAACCCCTCAAAACGTTAATCCCTTCTGTCAGGTTCATTTTCCACTCATTAGTGAGTTCAGTTGACACAGCAAGGGGTCTGATCAGCACAAGAGCTGTCTCAAGAGAAGGGACAGTGAGCCTTTAGATGCCCCTAGCTGTGCTGTCAAGTCTTAGCCCAATGGGCTGTGTGGTGCTCTTGTGAAATGTGTGTGTTGACTTTGCCAAAGTGAACTGTAAAGCAGTGACAGAGCGCTGAATGTGGAAATACATGGCTTTCATGCACTTTGTCTGGTAAGGCAGTCTCCTGATCTCTGTTTCCAGGCCTTTAGAGAGAGTGCTAACTATATATGCATAAAGATCTTTAAAAGTGCCAAGTAAAGTAGTTCATCTTGCTAGGCTTGCATCCACTATGGATCAATAGAGGGAAATAGGCATCACTTTCTCCTCTTTCCTTCCAGTTACTAGCCCAGGACATCCGACATGAAAGGAATGTGATTTTGCAGTGTGTTCGATACATCGTCCGAAATGACGTGTTTGGACTTCATTTAAAAACGGAACCAGCAGCTGAAACAGAGGCTGGACAGGCCTCCAAAACTACAGCAGAGTTTTTGGCAGACAAACTTGATGAATCTAATTGCTCTTGTAGCTCTGACCTTCAGTTAACAGGAGGAGAACAAGATGCATTATTAACGGCCCAGAATGAGAAAGCACCCACAGATCAGACATCACAGATGGCTCACTCGGCAGATGAGGAGACATGGGAAACACCGGCAATTCAGTGTGAAGAAGCGCTGTAGAAAATGTTGTGGAAAATACAGAGAAGGCTCAGCTTTTCTACCTGACTGACATTTTTTTGAAAGACATTAGTATAACAAAATAATAATTAAAAAATATATATTGAGAACTGTTAAAACTACTTTTCTAATCTGTCCTGCGTTGAGGTGACCTTTTCCTTGTGCAAACAGCATCCGTGTTGAGTAATTGCTTTTCCTCCATGAATGAAAAATGGCAGTGGCACAGAATGTGGTCTTCACTAGAAAAGTTACTGATAGCTGCTTTTGAGCTTCAGAACTTTGAACCCTCTTACCTTGTTAAGAGGAAACACGTCAGAACTCAAATCCTTTGCCAGAGCAAAGTGGTATTCAGGTAGACTGGTTCTCTCCCATCTGAAGTGATGGGAGTCTGGAAATATCTGAGTTTCTGGAAGTATCCAAATGTAGTTTTGAAATGGTAATAGCTGAAACAAAATGACACTGAATTATTGCTGTGAAGTATAAAACAAAGAAAGGAAGAAATAACTGAGCTGGCTCTAAAAGTACTGCACCTCTGCTAATCTGTTAATTAAGCAGAGAAATGGAAAGACAGTAAGGGTGCAGAGAGAAGGAAGAAGTTTTTTTCTTTGTTTGTTTGTTTGTTTTTTTTAAGGGGTAGGGGAAAGAG